TTTATTTTTAACCCGACTTTATTTGTTTAATTATATTACACTACTTACTGATTTTGCAGTAGTATCATTTCATTTAGCAAATTTCTTACACAAAGTTGAATAGTTCCCTCATTCTGTAAATCCATTCCTGATTTAAATCATCATGTTTTCATCGTTGAATAGTAACTTTTCAAAATTTTCTTCCCTTTCTTTGTAGATAACCAACAAGACTCATCACAAATAACTTATGAAAAGCCTACATCATTACATTTACGTGGTACCAGTCTACGATCAACACCATGTGGTCAAGATGATATTGTGAAGAAATGTAATGGGGGGATTTGTTTAAATCTTGGTGGTGATGGATATTTATGTGAATGTCTACCTGGCTATCTAGCTATCAATGGAGGACGTTCTTGTGTAAAACATAAAGGTTTGTGATTATTTATGATAGTTTATAATCTAAGCCGACAAGATTCTTGATTGTTTCATAAGATAACGCCGGTTAGCTTTGTTGAGTGCATGAATTGTCTGGTTCTGTTGAAAACCAGGCAAACAGTTATCCTCTTATAAGATGTATTCATAATTTTAAATAATGAAGTCATTGTTTGATGCCTGCGGCTTTGCAGTTCATCTGAAAAGCTTTAGATTCAAACCTTTTGTCTTACTCTTTTCGAGTAACTAAATAATAAATAACATTAGCTTTCTCACTGAAAGTGTAGCTCAAACGCAGGTAAATAAACTTGTGGCGGCTGACTATTAAAGTTGCATGTTAATTTTGAATCGATTATCTATATCGTTAAGTACGGAATTTCAATCAATCTTTATTATCAACCAGATGATAATGGATTTTTTTAAATGTGACTAATTTTTTTAGTGAACCAATCAAGACTATTTTTAGTACCACTTTGATTGTGTAAGAGTAAATGTTTGAGAATATTTATGTTACCATAAATGAAACTTACTTACTTACTTACTTACTTACGCCTGTTACCCCCAATGGAGCATACGCCGCCCACCAGTTTTCTCCAACCAATTCTATTCTGGGCTTCCATTTCCAGTTCTGTCCAATTTTTGTTCATTCCTCTCATATCTTTCTCTATTTCCCGGCGTAGTGTGTTCTTTGGCCTTCCTCTTTTCTTTTTTCCTGAGGGTTCCATCTGAGGGCTTGTCTCGTGACGCGGTTAGGTGCTAATGAAAGGGAATTCTATTTTCAGTGCCTTAAACTCTTGAATGAATCATTGTTAGATCACAATTATAAACCTAGAAGCACTAGATAGCCATTTTGTTCTAGTATTACGCTCATCGCCGCTGCGCATTCAAGATTCCTGCACTTCACAGGATTCGAACCCATAATCTTCGGTCTTGTATGCAGAAGCCTAACCTCATGATCACTGAGTCGGCAACCAACAGTGTTGATGAATAGCTCTGATCAATCTAAGCGTTTTGCGTAACCTCACCCATCCTGTTCGGTAGTTACTGCCTACAACATTTGACACGCTTTAACTCCACTGGTCCCATCTTGTCATCAGACTTCCAAGAAATTCCTCACGAAGCTAGTTTTAACTTGAAATTTCCATTGTTATGTCTATACAGTGAATTTAAAATCCTGACTACAATTTCTGTTATTCATCTGTTATCTATTTCATCACAATGATTTAGTCTGAACATAAAGCCCTATATTCTTTTTTCACACACTATTGTACCTCAGTAAGTTGCAACGTATAACTTTGTACGTATGTACATAAGTTCATGTTGCCATACCACATTAACACAGAGACGCAAATGTCAAATCAAGTCCCATAGTGTTAAAGATAGTAGAGGTATTAATGGTAATGAAGAAAACTAGGGTTCGAAGATATTATTCAAGAAGTATAATTGAGTGAGATAATGTTAGAAAGACAAAGGTGGAGGTGCTGACGAATCCAGAAGATTAGGATTTGAGAGAGATCAAAGAATGGATGCACTAGTGCCATAGCGAACGATTTTGAGCCATGTCATTCAAGATCTCTAACCATTGGTGACTTTCGTCTCGCGGACCCCAACCATGTAGCCTACATCTACCAACATGACTCAGTCCACTTGTCAGTGACTTCATGGATTTCTGCCATGTTTTGGTCTGGCCGCCCCTAGCTTTCTTCCAACCTACTCCTGCACTACAAAACATAGCTCGTCGGATGCAGTCGGTGGTTAGGCATTCGTAACACATATCCCAACCACCTCAACTGATGAAGTCTCACTACTTCATGTATTGATCTGCCATCCTTACGTAGTACTCGTTTCCTAACGACAGCATAGCTTACTCGGTTGTCCCACAATATACTAGCAATGCTTCTTAAACATCTATGATCGAATACTAGTAACCTACGAACATCTTCTACTCCTAACGGCCATATTTTACAGCCATATGTTATACCTCAATACCAGTGAATATATGAATAAATGTTTCTCGTTTCTTCTGGACAAGGAAAAAAAGCATGAAATAATAAATGTGTTTTCATAAAAACAAAAAAAATCTACCAAAATGTAACAACTTTTAAATTGTGGCGCAAAAAGTCGAACATTCAATTTACAAAAAATAAGCACATTAAATTAACCGCTAAAGAAATAAATCTTTGGCATTTTTTAAACACGACTGTTTTGTTTAAATGTCAACGAACGGAGAATGAATGAGATAAAACATTTGAGTGTTGTACACAAAAAAACTATCAGTAAATTAATTGAAATAGTTGGTTAAGAAATTAATTTTAATTTATTGCCAAATTACAAATTTTGATAGTTGATACTATTGTGGTGTATGCTACTTATACGAACGATATAAGTAGTATAAGAAGGGACGTGAAAGAAGAAGTCTCACGGTCAGAAGAGGAAAACGGAAAGCATATGGAGAAAAAGCAAGAAATAAATGGAGTACCAACATGAAGGAAAGGAAGCAACAACAGGAATGGAAGAAGGATGGATTGTTGGAAGTCACGACCCAAAGATGGTGTGCAAATAAAGTGTTCAATGTAATGTTTTCGTTTTGTTGGGCAATTCCTCTTCCAAAGTCCGGTTCTTCCGCAAATATAGCATTTATTATTTCTTCCACCCTTTATTCATAACGCTACCACCTCGCGTTGTAATTCTCCTATCTTCTTCGTGACATCATCAGCCTTTCTCTCACACGCCACCGAGACGACTGTTGAGTTCATCAGTTGTCTTGTAACTTTAGCCAGCTCGGTGACGTCCATTGGTTTTGCCGCGTTCACCTGTCTCAACTGTTGGGCAACCTCTGCAGGCACACTTTCAATGAATTGCGACGCTAGCAGCTGTGCCTGAGACTCCTCATCCGAATTCGGCAGACCCCGGTGCAGAAATCCTGTCGACTCCACAGCCAGCACGAGTGGGTCGCCATCCACCGCCAATCTCGCCTCTCGGAAATTCTGCAGCGCGTCCTGCCTATCCGTCAGGCTGTCGAACTCCACCAGCAGCCTTTCCGTCTCCACCTCCCAGTCAGCGTCCTCCACACCATCGTACACCGCTCTTGCCCTGCCTCTTAATAGAGTCCCCAATACCACTGCCTTCGCCCTGTGCCCCTTGACTCCTACCAGCTCCGCTACGGCCTCGAACTCCTTCAAGAAGCTCCTTACATTTCCGTCTTCAAACTGCCGAGGTCATGGGATCTTCATCCTGTGTAGAGGCAGCGACACAAATTGAGAAGACTGAGGCAGGCGCGGAAGATTTTATTGTATAAATTTACACTCTGAGTCAATTAAAAACGAAAACATTACATTGAACACTTTATTTGCACACCATCTTTGGGTCGTGACTTCCAACAATCCATCCTTCTTCCATTCCTGTTGTTGCTTCCTTTCCTTCCTGTTGGTACTCCATTTATTTCTCGCTTTTTCTCCATATGCTTTCCGTTTTCCTCTTCTGACCGTGAGACTTCTTCTTTCACGTCCCTTCTTATACTACTTATATCGTTCGTATAAGTAGCATACACCACAATTGTATTGAAATATTTTTGAATGTATAAAAATAATTACTTTGTAATTTAAACAAAATTTATGTTGGAGTCATAAAACATTGAACTTTTACCACTTTCGTTTTAATCGGAAAATTATTTAAATACCTGATCAATCATAAAGTTGTTTGTTTAAATGAAGTTCAATGTTGAAGGAAGTTGCTCACCTTGACGTTGAATATTCATTCCATACTAGATCACGATGCTCAAATTAGATGAAACATATAATCGAAAATTGAACGATTTTTCAAGTTACTAAAATTTACTGCACTGCACAAGTTGGAATATCAAAAACACGTTCTGCTCAAATATGAAACTATTGTACGAAAATACGACAAGTTTATTCTGCTTATTATGTAAATTAAGACCGACTTGTGTAGTTCGAATATTAACCGTAGTTATGTAAATTATTTTATTGAATGTCACCACTATTTCTTTCTGTTGTCTGTTCATGACTACCTAAATTCTTGTTAGTAGTAGTAGTAGTAGCTTATACTGTTTACTGGATTCTCAGTAATATTTATAAATTTTTTCTTAAAACTTATCATAGAAAGAGAAGATAACGTATTGCAAAATGATGAAGGTGTTGACGATTTGAGAAAATCTTTTCATCCAATAAACAATAGAAAGAATAAATGTAAGTGTGCAAAAACCTTTTCTTCTGAAAAGCTAAAAAAAATCTTGCACAATTTTACTTCATGAATTCATTTAACTACTTTGAGTTATTATTCATATTCATCATGTAAACAAACCTGAGTGTCATAACTCATATTGGTTGGACTGTCGAAGCTTCAATTTTGTGACGTCTGTTGCATCAGAATACATGACTCAGATGATTTTAATAGTTGACAAGAACTCGGTAAATATACGAATACTGGAAGGTACATAAAGCCAGATTTATACTGTATGCAACCATTTTTGAGCATAATATCACAATGTGATGGGAATGATTTCAAATCATTTCACACAGAAATTCAGCAAATTACATTGTAAATTCAGTCATTAAACTTACAAAGACAACAGAACATGTGGAAGTCATAAACAAGACAGTTTTCCGCATGTTCCTTTATGTGTATTCAATGTTTGAATCTTGATATCATCAATGGGATACATGTATATCAACCGAAAGGTGTTTAGGATTATACTGTTACCCATGTGTAGTATCTGAATTATCCTGATGAGAGCCATGTGTGGAAATTATAACTGATTGATTGTAGCCCTTAATGTCAACAAGATGAAATCACACACTTTCATAAGTGTGATTTTCTTCCTCACTTCAAGTTGAAATGTAGATAAATTCAAGTACCGTTATTATTGTTAAGCTCTAGTTTAATTTAAACCATGAAGATTTCATTCTTGTTACGTAAACTGGTTGATAATCTTACGTTTTGTGTTTATTGACCATGTTTCCGAGCTACAGTATGAACTGTTGTGTTTTATCATTGCCTGTTGATAAATATTTTGAGTGAGATCACATGATAGTAGGTCTCGAATGAAAAGAATCTTAGAAGAACACATATAAATGAACAACATTGCTTTTGATTAGATCTTCATCTCTAATATACATGAATACTTACATGAAAATGTTAAAGCAATCAAGGCAATTTATGAGTCCTTAATCACAATGAAATGAAAGAGATTACGTCACTATACGCATAATAGGCAAAAAGTACAAGTTGATACTAGGAAGACAGGTGTACTTAATGTAGTAAGAAAATTTAAAATACAATAACATAAGTTTTATCAGTAGTAGTTCAAAGGTGGATAGACAGTTTTTAATAGCCTTAAAAAATTGCTCCAGAGTGGCTATTAAGAATCTTGATCTATATTGCCGTTATGTCGATTATACGTTTATCATTCTGGATCAGAACATCAGCAATGAAAAACTACTTGAAAAATCCAACAGTGTACATCCGGTAATCACTTTCACTGGTGAAGTGAAGTATGATAAAAAGCTGACCTTCCTTGACGTCACACTAAAAAGGTGAAGTGATGACTCGTTAAGTGGAAGCGTGTGTAGAGAAAATCTCAACCACTTGCCAATACATTCACTTTCGTACTTTTACACATATACGCTACAAAAGAAATTTCGGTTAGATGTCTCAATAGCAGAGCAATAGGAATCTTTCATATTCTGAAAAGAATCTGTCATTTTATTTTCATCTCGAATGTATACCGATGTCCCTGATACAAGTTCAGACTAATTTCAACTAACATCTGATCACTATTGTATGATATTGTTAGGATATTCATCCAATATCCTAAGAGAATTATAGATCAATTCCTATTGGTTAATTGCCACTGGTCAGTTTTATGGTCGTCCTAGCTATCAATGTCACATACTCCAATGTTGTTTCTTATTGGTTGTCCTGACTATCAATGTCGCTTCAAATGTTGCTTCCTATTGGTCGTCTTAACTGTCAGTGTCACAGATTTCGATGCTGTTTCTTATTTGACCAAAATGTATAAATACGCATTATTTGTAACGTTTTATGACCACGACCAGGACCAGGACCCGATCCCGGACCTATAGTCCGGGATCCTGTTTCTCTTCTGGATTCGGACCTCGTACTTTCCGGATGCTTGTAGAGTACAGGTTCTACTTCATATCACGTTTTCTTATTTCTACTCAATATGGGGGTTGGGATAATCGGATTCGGAGGAGCATGTCGTGTCACCGGATCCTCGATCTTCGCTCTCGTTTCCCGACTAGGTAAACTCGCAATAGTTCAAGCATATCAAGTTGACGTCTTTACGTGTAGGCGTAACAGATATTAACAGGCATATTGACGAACACCTATTGTTAATCAGTTTTATTTTATTTCATTATTTGACAGATATATATAATTTTAAGAAAAACTCTAATTCAAAATTATCACAATATCAGTCAGCTTGTAGTCAAAATGATGTGTTGAACAAATGTGTTTGGGGTACATGTTTGAATCTTGGTGGAAATTTATATAAATGTGATTGTTTACAAGAATATCAATATACACCAATGGAAGGTTGTATTCGTCGAATCGATCAAGGTAAACGTCTATTTTTTTACAGCGTTAAATAACTGTATTTAATTGACGAGAATGATTTTTGGTTGGCACATGTCACGGCTTCTTTTGTCTATACTGAATGATCACCTATTATAACCCAATGACGCAATGGTTTAGACCGGAGTACTGAGCGACCAGGTTGTTATGTTGTAGTTTGACATCGAAAGCATCATGTTTAGAGATTATGTGATTTGAGGTAGTCAAAATGTATCTTTGAAACCTAGGTTTCATATTGTCTGTATTTATTTTTAAGATTTATTTTATTCTTGTAACCTCCATCGTCAACATTTTATTGAGTTGAGCTTAATTGAATTTGATAAATCCAGTGATCTGCATGAGAATGCCTTTCTGTCAGATCTGATGAGCTTCAGATCATTTTTCTGCAGCCACGTAACTTACTTTGTTTAGGAACTGGGTACATTCAACTTTATTTTTTGTAAACATTATTATTTACTGAATTGATATGTCTTGACCTTTAGAGCTATTACCGTCTCCCATCTCCTCGCAAAGAGCGAAACAGTAATCAGATCGAAAATATGGAGGAAGCCTTAATCTGGTTATTTTATCTTCAGAAAACAAGTATTATATGACTCTGATTTTCGGAAAAAATGTAAACAAATATAAGGGAACAAAAAGTGATTTCCAATGTAGAATGCAACTAAAGCTATAACACATTCGCTGGAATTCATTCGAGTGTTCCACATTAATCCTGCTTCATCATAAATGAGCTCACAATATTCTTGATTTCTGAAAAATTGTCTAAATCACACTTTTTTTCATTTTGAATCTACGAACTTTTCATGAACCAGATGAATCAATGATATTAAAGATTCCCATTGTGAAAATTAGAACAACACATATAAGCGAACAATATTGTTCTCGATTAAATCGTCATCAGGCTTTACACTCTCTAATATACATGAATATTTGTATGAAAATGTTGAACCAGTCAAGGCAATTTATGAGTCATAATCACGATGAAATGGAAAAGATTACGTCACTACATGTAATAGGCAAAAGTACAAGTGGATAGTAGGAAGACAGGTGTCCTGATAGTTGTAAGAAAGTTTTAAAATATGTTAACTAAAGTTTTACATTTTTGAAACCATGAATCGATGAATGTTAGACCACCGTTAGAAACCTGGAATCACTGGACGGCCGTTTCGTCCTGGTATGAGACCCCTCAGCAGTGCGCATCCATTCGGAATTGTGCGCGAACGCCCGAACCGTTAGACCACTGGGCCGGTTTCTAACTAAAGTTTTAGCAATAGTAGGTCAAAGGTGGATAAATAGACTTCAAATAATCATTACAAAACAATAAAACCATTACGTAATAAGCAAATGTGTAAAAATAAAAGTAAAATGAAAAATATAATGTCACTCGTTAGTTACGTCATATCCGGCCACGGAAGAGATAGGGGTGTCACGAATGTCTTCCAAACACATAAGTTGGGGTTGAATGAACTTATTCCTATGGCTTCTGCAATGTGTCGGAGACGGGATCGAACTCCGTTGGGAAATGATGGAGGTATACGATAGATCACCCGAAAAAGATCTAGATTTATCTACAACATGACCACTGTCTACCAGGTGTGCTAAGATAGAACTGCGTATTGTTTTTGACTGACCCTTCGTAAATCATGCTCGGAGATGTTCACTCATTCATTGGTTAAGTTGCCTGGTAGTGCGCCCGATATAGTTATCTCTACAAGAGCAGTTGAATTTGTAAATGCACATAGAGGAGGCCAACTCAGGTAACTTATCCTTCGTTCGGGTAGACATCGCTCGGCGACTTGAGAAGGTCAACACAAGTTTGGCTGCATTGAATTTTCTATTATTGCTCTCATTAATTTGTCCTGCAGAGTATCGCAGGCCACATCTCCGTTGAATTGTAACTTCATAAATAAAGGCTTCCTCTGGGCGGTCGAAACCACCGACTTTTTTTATTACGGCAAACATATACTTCTTTATGAATGCGCTGGGATAACCGATCTCGGTTAGTGAGCCGTTAATGAATTCCTGACTCAAAGTATCCACTGAACAGATTATATTTGCTCTCCAAGTGAGACATCTAACCAAACTTCTTTTGTTAGTTCGTTACTAATTCACAAACTTTATCGACTATCGAGCACACTGTTTCGCGAAAGACTGTTTTTCCAATGACATTTATCTTATTTGTGTAAACCATTCAAAGAGTGTTATAGCGAAAACAGATGTATTGTGGTTAACAGCGTTTCATTTTGTTGACGACTCGTCAGCTGGATCAACATGAATCACAAGGTTGATATGAACACTAAAATGCCTAGATGCAGTGCTAACCACATATCTTGTGATAATATGCCTTATTTGAAATTATCCTCACAGAATGTAAATATGCTTAATAAAACTGGTCATTATTCCGTCATGAATGCTGATATAACAGTTCACGAGATATCACAACAATAAGAATGAATGAATCACTTCTATTCCGTGTCGTGTATTGTTAGTAATTCGTCTTCTTGTCTAGGAAGAAGTGATCTGAATATTAAAAGATTATTCTTTGCATAATTTTTGATGTACACTTGAACGCATCATAGGATCTATTGTGCAACGATTGAGAAACATTCAACTAACTAGAGGAATTTCTATTACATGTATAGTCTAATTACTTGGAGTCCACCCAAATAATTTGAAAGCATTAGTAGTTTCAGAAAGTTGGCGGCTTCCGAAAATTCCATAATGAGATAGTATAACTGAATGGTCACTTTTTCTCTAGCAACCATTAATGAAACATTACACTTTGTGAAAGCATCATAACAGGGGCATAGTTTCAAATGTGTTCATATTATGCTTACCAAAATTACTTATAGTTCAAAAGTTCAAATGGGAACTGTCGTAGATATTGTGAATTGAAGAAGAACTAAATCCATTTTCATTTGTCAGTTGATTTTAACATTGTATTCTGTAAACATATAGGTTTTCCTAAGTATTCCAAGATACGAGATTTAGTCAATAAATTGAAGACTAAACTGTAATAGGCTATCCTTCCTTTTTAATGGATAAAACTGGTCATTATACTAATTAATAACAGAGAAAATCAAAACGGTATGTCTAATCACTATTTTAGGCATCAACGTATAGATAGACCTCAGTAGATTATCCTACATGTTTCATCACAGAGTACGAAGAAACCAACGTCAAGTTCAAATTTTAAGATAATTTTTCGCAGAATATTTTCGTCAATCTTTCGATGAGATTTTCTGCTGTTGATGAAGTTGAATATTAACCATTCGGAACTTATGAAAGAATACTTTTTGAATTAGTTACTTTTTGATATTGTCGAAGTATCAATCTGTTCAAAAAATAATATTTGTCTGGTTGATTGAAGGTGTGACTGCCGACATCATTTTAGCCTGATTGTTCCAGTAGTTACTTTTAAGAAAGAATGATATTGAATCAGGTTCATTGAATAAGTGACTCTTCGCTGTATGAACAAACTAGAATAGTGAGGCTTAGCTTCATACTTAACAATTTTTTTCACTGAATGTTAGGAATGCATCGTTGATATACATACATGCTTTGTGAAAATCAAGTCTATCGATTTTCCTATAAGGGTAATCCAATTCATTCAAGTTCATACAGTTACATTATTTATCATGTTAATCCGAACAACACCCAAACAAGACAAGTTTACAGAACAATCTCAATCACATGGCTACCTTTTTTGTATTCAATTAACTAACCCGGAATTCTAAGGTGACTGTATGAACACTATATATTCTCACTACTAAATGTTATGTAGGATAAAAAATTTACCCCAGTTTCCAAATTCAAGAGATTACATAAGTTTGGTAATAAACGGTTAAGTCTCTTTCACAAGTGTAAGCATTAAGGTTTTGACCGGATTTAACAGGTAGATACAATCATAAGACACATATTCCATATTACTTTCTATGTTTCATTTGACTACTTACAAGTAGTCAAAAACACATTGCTTAAATTTTCTAACTTTATTATTTTTGTTCTTTTAGATTTATCTCAGTTACAAAACAAATCAACACAAGGCTATAATGTAACAGTTTTCTAAATACCAGTATGAAATCTTACAAATAATCTAGTATACTTTTCAACTGCAAACACATCAAAGTAATAGACATGATAACTAAAGTTGCAATATATACTACTCACAAACAAACAATACATCCATGTCTCTCACCAATTATTCAACAACAATAATAATCACTATTTTAATGGACAATGTAAAGTTTTCCTGAACAAATTTTTTTTTTTACAATAGAAAATAAAAATAAAAGCATTACTCTGAAATTTAGCTATTCAACAAAAAATTTATAGAAATATTGACAATAACTCTAAAAGAGAAAGACAGACATTGACTAATCAATTATTAGTCAAGCACACATATCTATCTATTATTCACTGCATGCAAGTATATATGTTTGCATGAAGTATACTGAATAGAATATAATTATTTATTATTGTTATTATTATTATTATTAAAATATTATCATTCGTCTTATTACATAATTTTTCAATTCTTGCCATTTGTAAAGCTTTCTCATTTATCAAAAGAAAACGTATTATAAAGTGAATTGAATACGTTTGTTTACTTCATTCTATCACTGTGTGTGTGTGAGTGTGTTTGCGTTTGTGTATTTTACCAATACAGGGGAAATAAAATACTTATTTAAACAAGGCAATTTATGAATTGGTCATCAATGAATCATGTTAAAAACTGTCAACTTTACATTTCTCTTATAAAAAAGAGTGTTTTGTGGAGAATATTAACATGAATATGAATAAAAAAATAATTTCAAGAGAGATTTCTTTTGTAGTTGACATCTTAAAGGTGAGCTACTACTTCATAGACAGCATATTTCTCGTAGTTGCGTTTTTTCTAAAGCTACAAATCTGTCTGTCTGCTACAACAAAGAAATCGATATGAATGCATATCAGTTAAGTGGTATCTCGGCTATATAAGATCTGTAAAGTTTGATGAGATGCATTATCATGAAGATAAACAATGTTTGTTTTGCACAGAAATTCAGACAGAAATTTAACTAGGCTATGTTCACAGTAAAACTCCGCCAGTTAAACCTTCGGGGTTACTACCGGTCCCAAGCCCGGGTAAAGGAGGAGGGTTGGATATGGGGTTGGTGACCCCATTCCGTCAAAAACTAACTTGCCAAAAATCGCTAACCAGAAAAAAATGATTCAGACCATTTTAACTCTACCCTAGGAGTTGGAAGAAGAATTATGACGTCTCGTGATGAAAGCCGAGTTCCCTCGGAAGTCACGGGGCTGATGCCTCTTCTGACAACCAGAGCAACCATTCTTTTAGGTACATGGAACGTTCGTGCATTGTAGGAGACTGGAAGACTATTTCAAGTTGCAGCACAAATGAAAAGATACAACTTCGAGATGCTTGGAATCAGTGAAACGCATTGGACACAGGTAGGACAACTGAGACTAGCTTCAGGGGAACTGCTGTTATACTCCGGTCATGAAGAGGAAAATGCTTCACATACACAAGGAGTTGCACTGATGCTGTCCAAACATGCACAAAAGGCACTGATAGGATGGGAATCTCATGGACCAAGGATCATTTTGGCATCTTTCAAAACAAAGAAAGCGGACATTACAATGAACGTCATCCATCAGCAACAACGAACTGTGGGAGAGAACAAACCAGATTCCAGTGGAGGAGGAAGTCAGTAAGAAGCGGTGGAAGTGGATAGGACACACTACAAAAGCACCTAACTGCGTCACGAGAAAAGCCCTCAATTGGAACCCTCAAGGCAAAATGAAAAGAGGAAGGCCAAGGAACACATAACGCAGAGAAATAGAGAAAGATGTGCGAAGAATGAACTAACATTGGACAGAACTGGAGAGGGAAGTCCAGGACAGAGTTGGTTGGAGAAAACTGGCGAGCGGCCTATGCTCCATTGGGGGTAACAGGCGTAAGTAAGTAAATAAGTAAGTATTATTCACAGTAAAATTGTTCGGTAAATTAGATCCCTAGAAGTCACTTGACAAATGTCTTCACTTTGGATTTGCTTTATGGGCTGTTAGCTTTCTTCCTGTATAAAGTAAAATACAGTTATAAAAACGCTGTTCACTCTCGTTCATGTTTATATTATATGAAGCGCATCAACAGTTATCTGCTCATGTCACATGATGGATTGAAGCTCAAAGGTTGAACAAGATAGCATATCGTGTCATGGCTTGAAACAAAAGTTTTCCTCCATTTAGCAGATAGACGATTCAAAGATGCGTGAAACAAACTGGTCATTGAGACGTTGAAGCGCAGAGGTCAAGTGAGCGAAATAAAAATAGAATGTTATGGCACAGATAATATGCCACGGATCACAAGCTCCTGCTAGGAGTATTCGTTTCAAAATCTGGAATTACAGCTCATTCTGCTAATCATCTTCAGCGATGGGCCTCGGTACTTTTCGAAGTCAAATACCGTCGCACTCCACCATTCGATCTGGCAGATGCTTTATCAGGAATCATTACTGTTCAAGTGAAGACTGCAGAAACATTGTATGCGCATATCCGTCCTCGGCAGACCACGAGGAATGTTACCTGACAACTGCGAAACAAGCATTGCCAGTGTCTTCAACAGATATACAAAACGAACGACCCCATCATTAAGATTGCAATTAGCTATGTCCTCAACGGTTTGGGATGTAAGGTGTTTGATCGTGACACGAAACAGCCCTGTCAGCGGCGACATTCATTATTCATAGTAAACGACTGTTTGATGTTTGGAAAAAAAGTGGTTGTGCCGGAATCCCTTCCTTCTAAAGTTTTCAAACAGTACCTCCTGAATGAAATCCAGGAGTAATGTATCCTGGGTCCTAATCGATCTATCATATAGTTGTTTGGAAAGTGCATGCATTGTCAGAAAGCAGCAAAGGTGACTCAATCATGACCGTTTATTTTGAAGTCAGTTAGACGAAAGGTTCTTGAAACCATGAGCTGTACATCAAATTCGGGAATAAAGACCACAATCTCACAAACCGGTGTGGGCTTTGCTAGGCTGATCGTTAATTGAGATGCATTTATTTGAATACACGCATGCCCAAGGTTAAAAACTCCAAATTTCATTCTAAAAGAAGTCCCGTGATTAGTTATTTCTGTTATCTTGCATCTAAATCCGCATACATACACTTCGATATTGTAAGATTACTTCTAAATTGAAGTTTTTTTCAGTTACATTGTAATCTGCTTTTACAGATTCCAGCGAATGTTTGTGGCAGTGGTAATGAAAAATGCCTATTTTCGGACTCTAACCTGAATCTTTTTGAGCATTGAGTCTCTTGATACGAATTGCCGCCAAATACAACCAAAGTCAGAGGGGTTCAACTCAGAACAAAAATGATATAGGATGTTATCTAGCAAAGTTTATTTATGGAGTAATTCCACTGCTAACATGAAACTTTTTAAATCAAAGTAAAGATATGATCAGAAAAAATCAACAACATAAATCGGTAGAAAAAGAATCGAACGAATAAAATCCGGCTTTAAAAAATATGGAGAGAGCTCATCTTAAAAAATGTCTTGGCCGGATATGTGAGTTTCATTTATCGGCGACAGGAATATGTGAAAACAAAAAAAGGAGTCGAATTATGAACAAATACAATCGGCAATCCAGGATGCCGTAACGATTTCAAGCTACAATTTCGAATTATGAATTTATTCCAACAGCCCGAATGTCAGTAAATTCTTCCATTTGTTATACAAATAAAACAGCGTCTTATTTATCGTTAAATCTTACACATTGCGCATATTGTAGTGTCATTTTCTCTACACTTCCGAAAACACCACCCTAATCTTTCGATATTCTAAGCGAGAATTATCCAGCGTTTAAAACCATATACAGGCAAAAGAAGGAGATCAATCTCAAGTCTTCATTTAGAAAAACTTGATATTTGCAGTTCCTTACTGCCTGAAATATGTCGCATTTTGTTTGTAAAGATGGTCTATTTTAACACGTCAAACCCAATGTGTTTCAATCGGTCTAAATATCACAAGGTTCTGTCTTCCTGTTTTTGAAGCTGTTTGAATAATCCCTTCTTTCTGTCACAACTTGCGGAGATTCCCTAGAAGCTACACAACGATTTCTCGTATTAGCAGTAAACACATTTGTCATGTATTGTCCGAGGAGATATGCTTCAATATGATTTACAGCAGCTCGTCAATATGCGTACACTGAAGCTCTCGGAGGAAAAATTTCCACAAATTGTTTTTTTCAGATTCAGCTTTTAGTAACGAGATGTTTTCCTACAAGATGTTCCAACCTACCCGAGCTCGTCAGTTTTCAGGTGCAAGGACGGGCAAACGAAATACTTTGGAACCATTAACTGGATACCGTCAGTAACAACCTACCCGTTAAAAATATTAAACTACATAAGAGATGCAACCAAGACCAAGGCAAGTTTTGTACGAAGATGAATAGGTTTAATCTCCTCACAATCATTTCTACCTCTCTTGAATACGCACGCATGACCACAACCTAAGGTTCAAAAATCGCTGCACTCCTATTGTTTAAAGTTACATAAACCTCCCGAACGGGTGCAAAGACGATAAACTAAATGTTCTGTAGGAATAAAGTCTAAACTTTAGAAAGACAGATTCAATAAGATGGTCAGAGGTGTTCTGATAACGAAACATCGAAATATACCAACACCAGAATCTTATAGAAACATCACCATCAAGTGCCTGGAGAAATCCTTCGATGAATTCTTAGCATACCTCAATTATCAAGGGCCAGACACGTTTTTCACAAAAACGTGTAAGGTAATTCAGAATGCTTTCAGAGCAGAAGAGACCACATCTTCTGAATGGATAGTTTCAAGAATATATTTGATAAACATGTATTCTGAACTGTAATATGATTAACCGCTTGTGCCGGTTGTGATAGAAAGTTTCCCCTTATCTTACGTGCAATAACTTTCTTTAAGTGATTACAATTAGGTGACATAACGTCAGGTAATAAGACATCCCTGAGGCAGAATACTGACGCAAAATAGAAGGTACATAAATACAAGGAGATCTATCGACGAGCTTGAGGGCAGGCACATGACTGTACTATCATGCATCGGACATACCCAAAGACTTAGATTGGAGCGGAAAAAATACGGAATCAGTGCTCATATAGCAGCTCCTGTTCAGAAGAATCGATGTAGTCATATATATTCGACAACGAATAAAACATGATAGCAAATTGAGGATTGACATTCCTACTTTCCGCGCAAGTTACATTATACGGTGTCCAATTTTCAGTGTTAAGATGACATTAACACATCCATTTGGATACATATTCATGCATATTGGTACTAAAAAATAAAGAATGAAATAACAGATGCTAAAGGATGACAAAAGCCGAATCTGAGAGTATTAAGTGTAGCATGTCAGTATATACATATTAGCTAATAAGCTTGGTATCGCACGAGCGTCCTTCCACTGTTCAACATCACTGTTTAACGCAGAGAAACCAAAATGTTAGGCGTAACCTGGATTACTCAGCATTTAAAAACACGAAAAAGCTGGTACAAATCTTGTATCACTTGATCGCTAATTTACAATATATTTGGAATCTGTCATGATCTTTTGATATATCGTCCTCTCGGTCTCTCGCATTATGCGGTCGTTCGCCGTGTCTTGATAATTTGTTACTGTAGCTGTTTGTGACGTTTACTGAATCTGGCATTCTCAACTCTAATAAATG